GGGGGGGGGGGGGGGGGGGGGGGCTTGAGCGTGGGCTTGCATGTGGCACTGCTGCTTACCTGGAGGGCCGTGATGGTGGTGACGGCCGCTGCGTACAAAGCTTCCTGCTGCCACTGCGGAGCCGTGCCCAGAGCTGTGCAGCTGGCCGCTGGGCAGCAGTTGCAGCGTGGTGGTGGTCAGGCTGCACGCAGCCATCCCCGCCACCACCCAGCACTGCGCCATTGCTGCCGGCTGCGCAGCTCCGAGTATGGCTCCATGGCAGCAGCAAGCGGGGGGTTTGTACACAGCGGCAGTCACTGCTGACACAGGTGGCCCGACAGGTAAGTGGCAGCAGCTGCCACCGCTGCCACCACCCCATAGGGTGAAAGAGGAGCTGGAGTGACCATGGGGTGCAGCAGGCGGCTGGTTCCTGGGCACCAAGGCTGAAGTAGCCCAGCCATGGGCTGTCTCCACCCTACCCAGCAGCCATGATGGTGGCGATGGTAGCCATAACACGGTGGCCGTGACGTCCCAGGGCAGCAGTGGGGGGCAGATGCCAGCATGGGTGCAGGGTAAGGCTGGGCCTGGAGATGGTCTGGATTTTGACTGATGGTCCCTTCCTCTTACCCCACTGGGCAGGCCTCAGGCAGCCCCAGTGAGGCAAGGAGCCAGGCTTGGGGCCTGCCCTCCGGGGTTGTGGTGCTGCAGGAGCCCCCCAGCCCTGGGGACACTGAGCTGGGAAGGACAGGCTGCATAGCCTGGGGTGGGGGTGTCTGGTGCACCCATCCCTGGGATCTCAGACCTCGCCACAGGGGCTGCTGTGGGGAAAGCATGTGTGTGTGCACGTGCACATGTCCCAGATGTCTGGGTTTTGTGAGCGTGCAGCTGTGTTTCTGTGTCTTGGACACCTGGGTCCTATGCATGCATGTATACACACGTGTTTGTGTGTGTGTGTATGTCCAGGATGCCTGCATTGTGTGTGTGTATGTGTGTGTCTGGAAGCCTGGATGATATATGGAGAGATGGCAGCTCAGTGGGTCTGGGCACTACAGGGCAACAGACAGATGATGGGGACAGAGAGAAAGCAGGAACACAGGGATGGCGAGAGGTGGAGATGGACAGAGATAGACGGCTAGATGATTGGTGTATGGATAGAGGGAGATAGAGATGATGGATGGATGGGTGGACAGGGTTATATGGTTAGTGTGTAGAGAGGAGTAAGGGATGGATGAATGGACAGGGGTTATGGAGATGGATGGCTGGATGGACAGGCAAATGGGTGGATGGGGTTATGGAAATGGACAGATAGCTGACTGGTTCATTGGCTGGATGGACAGATAATTAGATGAGATATGGATAGATGAATAGAAATATCTATGTAGATAGAGATTGAGAGAGAGAGAGAGAGAGAGATGGATGGTCTGGTTCACTGGATGGATTGATGGACTGGTTTGAGGGATGGATGGATGGATGGAGATGGACAGATAGATGATAGATGTATGGATAGAGAGATCTAGGGAGATAGAGATAGATGGATAGAGAGAGAGAGGG